CAGGGAAGGGGCGAGCTACCAGGCCTGCAGCAGGGCATTCAGGGAGGGGTGGCTGCCTCGCACCCCTGCAGGGTCAGGCTCCTTTGATGCCCCACCCCCACCCCTCCAACCTTTGCAGCAGGTGGGGCGCCCGGGGAGGGGGAGGCGCTTACCTGTGCAGGTGGGTGCCTGCGCGGAGGGAAAGGAAGGCAGCAGGGTGAGCGGGGTCCTCGCAGACACCTCCCCGCGGGCCCTGAGCCGCCTCTGGAGGAGCAGAAGTTTGCTCTCTTCCGACCCCCCCAGCCCTGCTTGTGTTTGCAAAGCTACCCAGCAGCAGCCTCAGCAGGAGACCTAAGGCTGAGTCAACCGCACGGGGAGGAAACACCTCCCCACAGAGCGGGGAGGAAACTCGGGCCTGGAGCAAGAGCCGCCCGCTGGACCGGACTAGAGGGCCCACACCTGGGGGTGGGACAGCCTGAGAGCCCCCCAGGTACACCCTGGCGAGCCTGAGACCTGCCTGGACTGGGAGCTCTTCAGGGCCGGATCCTGGCTGCCCACGCGCAGCAGCCAGCCTGAGGGGGCCTGAGCCTGACGGGGAGGTCCTGGGTACCAGCGCTACACAGGGACCCCCCATCCCTTCCCTTCTGAATTGGCTGCCCACCCGCCCCCTGGAGCACCCGGGGGGCACAGCACAGCGCCGTCACTGGCAGAGAGAAACCGAGCCGAGCCCGTGTCCCGACTGCTCTGCTGCCCCCTATGTGCCCCCTCTGGCACCGCCACCTGGGAACCTTTGCCACCCCAGCACGAGGGTGGGGTATCGATGAGCCAGACTCCCTCAGTGCCACAGGCCGGAGCATCACGCACGGAAGCTCGTGTGAGTCGCCTCGACACGCAGCTGGTCTCCTTGCAGGCTGCTCTCTCGCCCTCCAGCTATAGGGGGACTCAGCCCCACTGGTGTCTGCAGGTGGGGTCTTTGCCCCCTCGTGAAACCCCAAGACACGGGGGCTGCGCCTGACTGAGGGACTCCAGGAGGAGAGTTCTGCCCACCCTCGGCACATGGCTCCAGGAGCGGCAGAAATGAAGAGCCTGGATTCTGTCTCATTGGTTTGAAGGTGAGTAGCCTGGTCCCATGGCAGGGGGCAGGATCCAGGAGCCCCTAACGCTAGCGGTCAGCATCTCTCCCTAACGGAGCCATTAACCGTCTCCAGCAACGGGCCTCCTGCTGGCTCCCACTGGATGTGAGGGGCAAGGACCAGAATCACAGGGGCTGCATCTACACTTCAGGCTTTTTGCGCAAGAACTGTTCTTGCGTTAAAAACTTGCCGGGTGTCTACACTGCATGCACGTTCTTGCGCAAGTAAATTTACAGGAACGCGTCGAAAAACAGGGCTTCTTCCGGAAGAGTTATTCCTCTCCCCACGAGGAATAAGCCCTCTTGTGCAAGAACTTTTTCACAAGAAGGCAGTGTAGGCAGGCAACATGATTTTCTTGTGCAAGAAACCTCTATGGCTAAAATGGCAAAAGCACATCTCTTGAGCAAAAGCACATGGCAGTGTGGACCTGCTCTTGTGCAAGACCTTTTGCACAAGAACGCTTGTGCAAAACAGTTCTTGCACAAGAAGCCTGCAGTGTAGATGTACCCAGAGTGTGTCTACACCACAGAGCTTTTCTGGAAAAACAATACTTACGTCCACACTGCTATTGTGTTCTTTCAAACAGAAAGTTGAAAGAACAGAGGGGTTTTTCTGACGGTGGTAAACTTCATTCTATGAGGAAGAAGCCTTCTTCCAAAAAAGCTTTCTTGGAAAAAGGCATGTGTGGATGCAGAAGAGAGTGTTTTTTTGAAAGAAGAGGCCTCCAGGAAAAAGCACAGGTGCCCTGGTGATAGAAATGTAGCCGTGTTAGTCTGGTGTATCCTGCATCCTGCTTCAAAAGCCTTTTAAGACTGCACTTGAAAGAGAATCCTCTGAACTGTTATTCATGCTTAAATTCGACACTTTACACCTGAGTCTGAATAAAGGATCTAATTATCTTACCCATTACAAAGATAGCTTCCCCAATTATCACCTCTAATATCATTAGCTCACAGACATTTACCTTCCCCCCCAATCCTTCTGTTCTGAAATTTGATTTGTCTTTTTCATATGTGTTCTTTTTTTTTTTAATTGTATCCTTCGGTATATATGGTTGTGACTATTTTCTTCCACTATTTGATCTGAGGAAGTGGGTCTGGCCCACGAAAGCTCATCACCTAATAAACCATCTTGTTAGTCTTTAAAGTGCTACATAGTCCTGTATTTTGTTTCAGGTGCCCTGGTGGCCACTCCTTCCACAGTAATCACAGCTTATATGCAAGATAGCGTCCAATCAGTGTGGATGCTCTCTTTTGAAAAAGCACATGGCTTTTTTGTTGCACTTTTGCTGTGTAGACGCTATCTTTTGAAAGACGTTTTTCCGCAAGATCTGTTCTAGAAAAGCTTCTTCCGAAAGAAGCCTGCAGTCTAGACATAGCCACAGATAGCCCCCAGCAGGGCTCTGGGGCAGGAGTTAGGGCCAGATTCCTGTGGAGGGCTGGGGCACCTCCCTTCCTGGAAGCCAGGACCTGGGCTTTTAAAGCCTTGTTCTCTTCCTTCCAGTGCATGTACACACACACACACATGTACACACGCGCACGCACGCTTGCACAAACACAGAGGCTGGCTCTGGGGAGGGGACAGGGCTAGCAGGAATTCCAGAACAAGTTTCCTGGTGACCACAGCAGGAAGAGACCTCAGAGCATCATCCCCAAAAAGCATCAGTGGCTCTTTCATGAGCCTGCTCAGATCCTGCATCCTCCCCAGGATACCAGCCTCTCCCTGGACCTGGGTCACTTTCTGCCGCTAGGCCAGGCCACAGGGACACACTGAGGTGGCCACAAACCAACCCGCCCAACCTACCCAGGAAAGGCCTCACCACTCAGCCATTGGGCTCCAGCCACTATGGGTGGTAAGGGGGCACCTTTGAGCTCTCCTCACTAGGCCCACCAGCCTGACTGCAACTGAGTCTCTCCTGCTCCACCTGCCGCCCTCCTGCCCTGGAGAGTCATGGGGAGATGCCAGACAGGACCAGTGCATCGAGGGACCCCTAGCAGGGTTCCCGCTAAGATTTTCCATCCATGAGTGGAGTGAGTTTTGTCTTGTGCACCAATTAGGTCATGTGCGCTTGTTCAGATAGGTGCCACTGTGGCGCACACCACCCCCCGTGGCACTGCTCCCCAGTGCTATGAAATTTGTGGTTTTACCACAGAGTAACTAACATGCATGGTAAAAACATAGTGGAGACAGGACATTGTACTTTCACCCAAAGGCAAAGCAGGGGAGGGAGTCATTCATTTTTAAAACATCAGCAGCGCAAAGGGGTGATCATTTTAAAAACATCTTTGATTTTGGCAGCACAAACCAGTCAACGTATTGGGATAAAGATCATCACTGAAATGTACCATAAACATATGTAGAATACAACAGTGTATAAAATTAAAAGGAAAAAAGATGTATGCAACAAATGGAGTAATAAAGGATGCGTTTCAATGTTTGCAGGCTGAGGAATTACTTACACAAGCAAGAATCTGTAACCGATTTTCAATTAGTAGGGGTGTGGGTGTTACTAGAAGTCCAAAGTATTATAGAAATGTACTTGTATATGGATTCTTTGGGAGAGGGAACAGTACGTGCATGTAACTAGTGCACCCTACAGGCTCAGAAAGAAAGCAAGAACCACCCAAAATGTACTTCATGACTTTCAGGTGCATAACACGTTCTCTTTTCATTCTTGTAGCTGTCGGTCCTGGCTGCGTATTTATGTTTAGTAAAAAGTAGAGTAGAAATTTGCCTTTGCAAAGGGTTCCATAGAAGATCACATACTATCCTTAGGCCAGATTTGTAAAAGTATTTAGGTAACTAGTGGGATGTTCAAAAGCATCTAGGTCAAGGGTGACCAACCTGTGGCTCTTGAGCCACATGCGGCTGTTTGCTCACAGAAATGCGGCTCTCAGGGTTACAGCTCGTTCAGAGCCGCATGCCCGCTTTGTGCTTGCGCCCCAGGTCCTGGAGAGAGAAGTGCATGGCTGGGGTGGTGGCAGCTCCAGTGAGACCTGGCATTGGGTTAGAGTGAGGGAAGCTGGGGGGTCCTGGCTCTGGGGGAGGGGGAGGGCATTGGGTTGCGGCTGTTTGCTCACAGAAATGCGGCTCTCAGGGTTACAGCTCGTTCAGAGCCGCATGCCCGCTTTGTGCTTGCGCCCCAGGTCCTGGAGAGAGAAGTGCATGGCTGGGGTGGTGGCAGCTCCAGTGAGACCTGGCATTGGGTTAGAGTGAGGGAAGCTGGGGGGTCCTGGCTCTGGGGGAGGGGGAGGGCATTGGGTTAGAGTGAGG